CCTGCAAAAAAAGGAATCATTTCTCCTGGACACTTCTCCCACAGTCAGGGGCTTTTCAAATGTGCTCAGGGTCCCTCCCAGCTTCTGCCTGTCCTTGCATTTAAAGGCATGGGCATGTTTCAACAGCAGAACCCAGCTCCTCAGTGGCAGTATAAGCCCTGCTCTTACCTGGACAGACTCCCAGGCTCGGCACAGCTGTGGCTCATGGAGCAGCTTCCCAAGGCCCTTCTCTCTCCCAGCAGGAAGCACAACTCGCCTCCACTCCCCGGCACCAGGGGAAACCACGAGCCAGGCTGCAAATTGACACAGAACGAGCAAAAAGCATTAATTAATTTTTTCCCTGCACGGGAAAGGCTTTGGGATTCCGAGGCAAACCCTGAAACACCCAGAGAGCAACAGCCCCACAGCCCTGCCACGGCTCCCCCCGGGGTCACCCGGCAGTAAGGGGCTTACCCGGCCCCCGTTGCCCAGCACAACGCGCCCCTAAACGGCCCCCGGTCCCCCAGTCCATAAACCCGGCGGACAAGGCGCTCTCACCTCCGCAAAGTCACGAGGGGCCCGACCCTGCCGCACACCCCCAGCACAGACCCCCCAGCCCAGCCCGTGTCAGAGCACTCACCGCACATCCCCTGCCGTGTCACCTCTCCCGGGGCTGGGCTGGGTCCTGCCCCTGGCCGGGCTCGTCCTCCCGTGCAGCCTCTCCTGGTGCTGTGCTGAGCCGGGCTTGCCCAGGCGGGACCTCTGCGAACGAGGCACAGCTGCTTTGGGGACGGGAGCAATCAAGAAACCTTCCCGCAGGCTGACCCGGTCCCACCGGTGGCTGCGCTTGCCCCGTGCTCGGGGGGAGCCCCATCCTCGGGCGGCTCTGGCCGGCAGCCCCCCGGGCAGTTCCCGCAGAGCTGAACCTGCGCAAAGACAGTGGGAAAACTCTCGCGTACGCAACACAAAGTTCCAGGCGCTTTCCCCGCCGTGCCGCACATCCCTCCGGGAGAGGCCCCGGCCCGGGCACAGCCGAGCTCCCGGCACGGCCCGGGGGCGGCCGCTCGAGCCCCCCCGGCCGGAGCCGCAGCCGGGACAGCCCGGGCCGACCCCGGGCCGAGCTCCGCACCCTCCGTCCCGCGGGTGCCCCAAGGTCTCTGCGCACACACGGCCCTGCCGGGCACGGACACCCGGGATCACGGCGGGGCAGCACGGACACGGACACGGACACGGACACGGCACCGGCCCCTCCCCGCACGGCCCCGGCCCCTCCCCGCACAGCCCCGGCACTCACCGGCTCCCCCCGACCCGCACACCCCAAAGCCTCCCCGGGCCCCGCCGGCGCTCGGTAAAAGGGCTGAGGGCGGGGCCGGGCGGGGCCGGGCCGGGGCGGTCCCTGCGCGGCACCTGCGGGGCGGGGGGAGCGGGGCGGGGCTGCGGCACCAACGGGCTCGGTGGCGCCGTCTGGCGAAACCCGCCCGGCACTGCAGGAACAGCCCTCGGGGCGCGCTGGGAACGCAGTTCCCGGTTTTTGTTCGCCAGGGGGAGCCTTCGCTTGGCTCACCGAGGGGCACAGAGGTGTCACCATGTGCGTCGTGTCCATCTTCTGGTCTGGGGGGGGCCACAGGGGTCAGCGGGGGGCACAGGGGTCAGCGGGGGGCACCTGGGACCACCTGCAGTCACCTGGGACACCCTAGAGCTACTACGGGGTCACCACGTACATCACATCTGGCTTCTCGTCTGGGGGGTCATGGGGTCACCTGGGGGCACATGACCCGAGCAGCTGCCCGTCTGTCCCTGTGTCCGTGTGTCTGTCGGGCAGCACCGTGAGCACCCCCGGCCCAGGAACTGGCACTGACCGTGCCGCGGGTCAGGCACAGGCTGGTCCCAGCTCTGCCTTCATCTCTCCCTTCCCTCCATGGCCTCAGAACTCATGGGATTTCAAACAGTGACTTTTTACCCTCCAATCAATAAAGTGCAGCTTGTCTGACAGCACCTGCCAGGTGAGATCTGACCCTCTCCTTCCTCTCCCCCCATTGCTCTGGAACTCACACTCTCCAATGGCAAACCCCATGTTTTTGGAAGTCCACTTGAAATATTTCCTCTTTTTTTTTCCAGATGGGGAAGGTCCTGCCTGGAATGGAAATGGGTACAGAAGAGGAAACTTCAAAATGCCAAAACCAGGCACTGCCGTCTGAGTGAAAGCAGGGAAAGACTTGGGATGTTGAAGGTTTTATTGTGATGTGCTCCCTGATAAACACAAAGCATCAGGAGTGGACACCTGACAGACAGAGCAATGAGCTCGGAAGAAAGGAAATCCAAAGGTCCAAGGATTATCTGCACTGGGGGCTGGAAACCTCTGCTGAGCCATTGCCACCCTTCTTTCCTCTGAGAGACCCCACAGGGGCACTAGGATGTTGCCAGAATTGTATTCCCCAATGCTCAGATGCTGTTTTGTTGGTTGTGTGTTCACCTCTTTGCATTGCCTGCTGTGAACATGTTTGTGTTTCAGCTCAATAAAAAGTCCCTTTTAGTGTTTATTGTATGTGATTTTTGTGTTACAAATGTTAGTCAGTTACTCTAAACACTTCCCCTCGAACTGATGCATCACTGGATTGTGATGAATTGCCTCTTACACTGGAGCAGTTCTCTGCTGCTCTTGACACAGGCTGTTTTTAAGGCCCATAACAAAGAAAAACAATTAACCTGAAGAACACAGTGCTCACACCCTGGATCCCTTCAGCACTAGGTGTTTTCAAAGTTCATATAACCGAGCAATCCAAACAAGAAAAAGAATCCCTGAGCATCTCTCCCCTCACACCTCACCTCGTATTATGCTGCATTTGCCAAGTCCGTGTACCATCCTGTTGTTACCTGTCCAGTTCTCCATGTGTATCCCACCTTGTCTTGGCTGCAGCTGCTAAAACACAGGCTTGAGGTGTTTTTAGCAGCAATACCTTATTATAAAGAGAGGAAAATGTTGGGAACCCTTCATGGAATAAGCGCGAATACCAGACTGTGTCTCTTTGCGTTTCCTGTAGTTCTCCTTCCTGTTCTCGCCCGGCCTGGAGAGATGTGCGTGGCCATCACTAGGAAAATGATGTTACCGAATTTGTCCAAAATTTTTCATCACAGGCACACATTTTTCTAACAGAAAACACCATTGTAGTTTTGCCTTTTCCATGCCCTTTATAGGTGCAGCCCAGGATGTGCTCAGACGGTGTTTTCCCAGGAGGAAGGGGAGCCTTGGCCTCTCCTGCACAGCTCAGGTGGATGTGACAGAATTGGGGTGGCCTGGCAAGGCATGAACACATTTCTGTTTTCTGGAGTGCCTTGAAAGCTTTCTCTGTCCAGTTTCTGAGGTGTTTCTCTGCATGATTTCCTGTGGTCCAGCATCCCTGGTATCCCTTACTTTGTCCAAAGTCCAATGGCAAAGAATTGAATAATTCACGTGTAGGGTCTGGAATTAAATGGTTCTGTTAAAATTAGGCATAGAATACAGTAAGAAAAAGTGGACATTCTGTTCAGGTATGAAATAACTTGGAATAAAAACGGTGAAAAAGGGCAAGGGTTGGACGATTTTGGAGGTAAAATCTGAGTTTAATCTACTGGAGATAAGCAGGGAATAATAACTATTTTGGAGGAAAATTCTGTCCTAATCTGTAGGGGATAGAACAAATGTTTTGGGGGTAAGATATAGTCTGAGTGGTTTTTAGTTTAAAAATCCAGATAATATAAAGGGGAAAAAAATAGACCTTCTGGGCACAAAATCTGAGATAATAGGTAGATCAAAGAATGTACACTTGGAGGTAAAAATGAGGTAACCAGTAGTGCACAGGTAGAGAAATTTTGGGGGATAAAATCTGATGTAATCTCCAGGGGAGAGAATGAACATCTTGAGGGAAACTGAGGTGAACAGTGGTGGATGGATAGGGAAAATTTGGGGGGGTAAAACTTGAAATAACCTGAGAATGAACAGGTGTTTTCTCTCCTTCTCATACTGAAATTTTAGTCTTTTTAGATGACTTATATCCCCCCTCAAAATCAAATCAAGTTCTCCAGAGAAATGTACCACAAAAGCCATTTTTTTACGCCTTATTTCCCAAATTTCCACTCTTATTTATTTCTCTCACTGCAACAGTAATGAATATCACAGAAATAACTATGAGACAGGGGAATAAATGGGATGTGACTGAAAATGCTCATTTTTGTCACTCGGGCAGGAACCAGCTGGTGTTTAGAATGTTCAGCCAGAAGCAACGTGGACACAGCCATAAGAAAACCCAGGGACTGCTGAGTCCAGTTCACATTTCACGCTGTATCTCCAACATTTCAGTCCATGAGAGTTACAGGATAAGGGATTACTCACAGGCTAAGACATTTCCATAAATGTCGTTCAAGCAACTCTGCTTCAGCTGCTCTGAGAGATTCACAGAGAAAATGAAGGAATGTTTTCTTCTTTGGGCATCCACAGTAATTGTACCTGAGTCAGTAATCTCAGTTCTCTTTTTCTCTTATGTCCCAGTAAATGGAAGATTTTAATCCTGTCCTTGTTTCAGCCCAGTTCAAGAGCAGCAGCTCGTGGCTGGCTGAGGGGAGTGTCCACTGGTTTAAGCTGGTGACACAAAGGGATGAGTTTGGTTTCCTGCTGATATCAAATGTTCAGATGTGATGTGAGTTTGATGTCTCCTTCAAACAAGAAACACTTCAGCATTTCTGTCAGAAAGGGCTCACAAAGCACGAGTTTCACACATAGTGAATAAACTCTGCCAGGCCTAAATCTTTCTGGTGGTTCCTAGCGTGTTTCACTTGATCCCATCATTGCAGGACTCTTCCAGATCCTCCATGATCAAATCCTGCTGGTTATTCACCCAGTTTCCTTTCTTAACTGGCTTCCTCTCCTCCTTAGCTGTTTGAAAAGACTGATCCTGGGGCGTCTGGCACTGGGCAGCTGGCAAGAGGTCCTTGCTTTGGCCTGGCTGGGAATAGACCTCCCTGGAGCAGAGCTGGAGTTTGAAGACACCCTGGAAGCCCCGGCGGAAGTTTTCGTTACAGAACCCGTAGATGATGGGGTTGACACTGCTGTTGAAGAAGGCCAGCCAGTGAGCAAAGGGATAAATGTAGATGTTGATGAGCTGCAGCTGGAGATCGGAGAGGCTGGCGTAGTCCGAGAGCAGCATCAGAGTCCACAGGGGGAGCCAGGACAGGGTGAAAAGCAGAGTCACGACGACGAGCATTTGGATGGCTCTCTGTTTCCTCTTCCAGGTGCTGTGCCGCTGCTCCTGGCCACGCTCCCCAGCCCCGGCTGTGTGGGAGAGGGCGACGCTGATCCGGGTGTACATGATGACGATGAGCGACAGGGGAGCCAGGTAGATGTTGGCAAAGAGAACCGTCGTGTAGATCTTCCTCATCGCCGGGTCAGGCCAGTCCTCCCGGCACCAGTACACCGGGCGGGTGTCGTTGCCGGGGCCCAGGATCACCCTGAAGTGCTTCTCCTCCTGCACCTGCAGCAGGACTGCCGAGGGACACATGATGGCCACGGCCAGGATCCAGATGACCGCGACGATGGTGACGGCGGTGGGGATGGTCAGCTTCTGCTTGAAGGGGTACACGATGCACCGGAACCTGGCAAGGTGGCGAGGACACAGGGGACACGTGTGGAGAAGCCATTGGAGGAATGCTTCATCACCCGGCTTTAAGATTTAGCCCCCAGTTTTCCTCTACCCAATACTGATTCCCTTAGTTTACCTTAATATGTTCATTCACTACCCTACAGGTTATTTCAAATAACCCAGATTTTCCTTATGGAATTTAAAATGCACACGCATTTTAAATTGTTTTTTTTAAAAAACAAAGATGGAGTCATCTCATCCTCTTTTATCAGCAGCTGCTTGTGATGCTCCACTTAGCTAAGGCAGGTATTAACACCTCTGCTATCCAGCTTAACAGCTGAGGGACAAACCACTTCCAGGCCAGACAGGATAGCCTGGTTTCACTGTCTTGAAGAGATACCAGTGGAGGAGCAAATTGCTGTGGCTGCTCTTTAGACCTGGCAACATCTTGTTTGGCTTAACAGCCTCAGCAGAAAAATACATCTAATTTATTGCGGTGTTGGGTGAGTTAATGAACAGGCTCATTGTGGTCAGAGGGCAGAGGGAGGTGAGAGTGGTGGTCACAGACTCTGCAGCATCTTACCTGTCCACGGCAATAGCAACCAGAGTGAACACAGAGGCAGAAACAGAGATTCCTTGGACCATCCCGCTCATCTTGCACACCAAGCTCCCAAAAGGCCATCCTGGAAGGAAACAGGCAGTTGGAATTGCTGTCATCTCACTGCAGGACTCTACTTAAAATTATTTGCTCTTGTCTTCCATTTCCTGAGTAGACTCCTGGAATGGTCTTGGTTAGAAGGGACCTTGAAGATCATCTCCTTCCAACCCCTCTGCCATGGACAGGGACACCTTTCAATATCCCAGCTTGCTCCAAGTGCCATCCAGCCTGGCCTTGAGGATTTCCAGGGTTGGGGCAGCCACAATTTCTCTGGGCTTATATGCATAAGAGGAATTTTCTGCCCTGGAACTAAGAGAGCAAGGGTTAGGGAGGCAAAGAGTGTGGAAGCAGATGCTTTGTCAGCTGCCTTTCTGATGACAGGTGACTTTCTGATGTTCCAAAAACCAGCAAAGCAAACATCTGTGGTTTAACATCCCGATAAAATGAGACATCAAGACAGGAAAGGGAATTGACTGCTACAGTGGATTGTTCTCTTCATCTAACTCGTGGCATCCACCAAGACTTCCCAAACATACCACCTGGCAATGGGAGAATCCCTTCCTAAGGATGAGGGATGTGGAAGTCAGCAAGCAGGCAGAAGGTGGGTTAGAGGCTTGTCTTCCTCACCCCTGCTCCCAGTGACTCGAAATGCTCATAGAGCCCCCTCCGAAACACGCCCCCGGCTCTCCCTGCCCCTGGTGAGAGCCAGCCCACCTGCAATGATGTTGTCCAGGAGGGTGGTGGGCATGCAGAAGATCCCCACCAGCAGGTCACTGACAGCCAGGTTCAGGATGAACAGGTTGGTGACCGTCCGCATGTGTTTGCTCCGCAGGACGACGAAGCAAACCAGCCCGTTGCCCACCATGCAGAGGAGGAAGATGAGGAGGTAGGATATGATGAAGACAGCAGCCACTGAAGGCTGGTGAAGGTAGAAGTCCACGTAGGAGACGTTGCCTTCCCAGTAGAGGTACTTGTACGTCCCGTTGTAATTCAGCGCGGGGGGCCAGTCGAACGAAGCGTTGGAGTCCATTTTCTTACTCGTGTTCTAACGTGCCTTAGAAAATATCTGTAAAAAAAGTCATTTTTTGCAGTTGATCCTTATGAATCTGTCATTATTATTATTATTACTGTTATTATCTGCCTTGAGTACACTGTGTTCTGAAACACAAGCAAACCTCAGGTGTGCTCATCCCTCTGTGGCTTATTTTAACAGTCCGTGTTCTGGGCCTCCCCAAATAGGAAAAACAACAAATACTACTTGTAGAGTTTGACCACACAGGCCTACAAAAGTGACCAGTGAGGCTCCTTTCTCCTTCTGCAGGCTCTATAAATTAAGTCCTTCCTTTCCCAAAGGAGGAGAAAGCCAGACAGGACGTAAAACAGCCTCTTGTGCTGCGTCAACTGAACAAACCAACAACTTGCCCAGCTGATTTTGAGGTAAAAAGTAATCAGAATTCCTGAGGAATACATTTACTGAACAGCTGGAGTGATCTAACAATGGTGAGGTTGCTGAGCAACAATCACTGAAATAATCACTAATTTAATCACTGAAAACCAGGGATTAAAGCTTTCTGAAGTGGCAGAAATGTTCTGCCTGCATGTATCCAAACGCAATCCCGTTTCATGGAACATGAGTTGTTTTTTATGTACAGTTGGTATTAGACTATTATTGCTCAGAAAGCGTGTAGCTCACAGTCTGCAATCATGAAGGACCATGCTGTGTTTGAAACATGCTCAGGTACAAGAGACCTGGAGTCATTTCCTAGCAGGTAACTTGACTTGGAAGCAAAAGAACAGCAAAATTAATCGGTGGAAGAAGGCATGAAATTAAAATATGAGTGTAGGTGCCTTTAGGACACTTCAAATTTCTTATTATAAATGGAAATTGAATTAAGGCACAAGTGTCCAAATCCTGATGGGCTTGTACGAACATCAAAGTTTCTGCAAATGTTTTACTTTCAGGTAGCAGGCACAGCAAAAATTAATTTTTTCTGCTGTGCCTGAGGTTTGGAACAAGCAGAGCGGTGAAAAACCACCATGTTCTGGTCTCTTGTGTCTGTTTAGAAGTCAGCAGCAGTGCAGGGTTTTAAAGGGTCTGTTTTACATACTCATTAAATGCTTGCACAGCCCGGTAGGGAGACAAGAATCTGGAATCTCTCACCAAAAACCGGCTACTTGTATGTTTGAACAAGCAATAATTATATATTCCCTTGGGCTGTCCTTGTGGAGAAAGGCTTATCATGATTGTTTTTTATTCAACACGTTTTCAAAATTACCAGAATTGTTTTTATTGAAATGTGTGATGTGCCAACTGCTTTCCCCAGCCAGAGCTCAGAGTCAGCTGCTGTGGGAAGTGGTTTTAATGCCAGCTTTCCTCACCCCCCTCAAGGCAGCAGCTCTGGTGCACTTGCACCCAAACATGCTCAGGATGGGGAACACTGGGAGAATGCAAATACAGATATTTGGCAATAGGAGTTTGCACTGTTCCTGTAATCCCAAGCCTGGAGCTGTGGTCTATAAATTCCAGGAGATGCTGCCTCCCTCAGACCCTGTTTAAAGCTCAGCATCCCTCGTGCCAGAGAGCTAGACTTAATTTGCTGCTCTTCACCAATATTATTATTATTATTATTATTATTGTAAATTACCACTCATTTTCTTCTTCAATCCTTTGCTTCTCAGAGGTGCTGCTTTAGGAAGATGCTTCAGCCTGGGGAAGGTGCTTTTGGATCCTGCCACATTCCCAGTCCTCATGCCCAGCGGGATCTGTGCTGTCCCCAACAGGTGAGACAGATCTGGCTTTCCATCCTTACCTGCTGGAGTCTGGGTTTTCAAGGGGCCTCTTGTTGTCTGAGAGAGAAGTTCCTTGTTCATTCCAGAACAGAATTATCCATTATCACACTAAAAACAGGAGGATTGATCTAATCATTATTTTTTGATACATATTTTGCGTTTTCTCTTTTTTTTTTTTTCTTTTGACTTTGTGTTGTGAAGCAGCAGCTTCCAATCTTTTCAGTAATGATCTCTGTAATGGCTTTTGTTCATAACTGATAAACAAGAAGTTGTAAACAGCCTCAAGGCAAAACTGGAGCTGTGTCTGCATGTAGCTTGATCCCAGTTGTACTAATGAAATTTTGGCTGTAGCAGGCACAGAAAAGTTGCTGTACAAACACCAGAGCTGTCAGGAAATAGAAAAGCTCCACAGATTTTTATTATACTGAAGCTGAGGGAGATGAGGATTAGCTGCAAGGAGAAATTAAGACAGTGCCTTATGTTTTCACAAGGTCTTTGCCAGCTAAAACAGGCAGTGACAAATAACTGAGAGAGGCATAGAAGACAGAAACATAAATGATCTAAGAAAAGGGAAAAAATAATGCAATCCCTAAATATCAAGAGATGATAAATAACAGTAATCTGCTTCCACGGGGTAATTTGATAAGGGCAAGGCCTCCCTTTCTAATGTAATAAACCAGAGAAAATCTGCAATGGAGTAAGGCGAGAGTCTCCCCAGGTGAAAATCTGCCCAGTCCCACATTGGGTTTCCAAGCACAGAAGCCTCATTCCCTGCTGGAATCCCGGTCACAGCCCCCTGGAATCCCGGTCACAGCCCCCATGGACAAAAAGGCAGTTTAAGGTCTCATGTGCTGACCAGGACAATCTCATACATCTGGATATGGAAAGCCAGTTCTCTAATGTTACAGTAACAGTTCAAGGTTATTCTGAAGTTGTACAATTGTCTTTATGTTGGGCAGGAAATCCCCTGGAGCTGCCAACACTGTTTCACTTCACTTCCCTGCACAACCTCTGGGTTTGTGATGTGGATTTGTGCGTGTGAAATCTCCTCACAGAGTCCTCTGAGGCTGGAACAAAGACAAGGAACCTTCAGAGACAGGGGCAGTAGGAGTGTGTTGTCATGGAAAAAAAGAAAATTTCATGTGGTACGTGCAAAAATATTTGTTCTTGCCTTCTCCTGAGCTCTGTGCTCTGTGTCATGAGCGAACTCCAGAAATTTCCTGGGTACCTTGAAAAATGATCTCTGGCCTGCTGAGAGGTGGGAAAGTCCTGCTGGCACAATTCAGCCCCTGAGGGATGACAGAAAAAGCAGGACCTGAGTTCGTAAGTGTCTGAGAAATAAGGAAGAGGCAAGTGCGTGAGTTGTCCTGTGCCTCAGTGGAATAGGAAAAGCCATTGACTAAAAAAACTAAAATGCTGTTCCACAGGGAGCCCTGCACAGGCCATGGGAATTGGGATCATCTTTGCTTCTCTTCCAGAGCAACTGCAGCCACCCCAAGCCTCCTATTACCAGTTCCTGGGGCTCTGGCAATGGGACAAGGAGCAGGGCAGGAACTGTCACTCCCAGCCCGGAGCACATGCACTCACCGAGATCATTCCACAGACAGGGCAGCCTTGTCCCAAGCCAGGATTTCATTGGAATGTCATCAACTGCTTGGGAATTGCTTTAAGGTAGGATTGAGCTTTATTATGCACTTATTATCTGTTTCCCACCTGAGTAGAAGTGTTGGGTCTGGGTCATGCAGGACTTGAGCTGCCAAGTACAAACTCTGAGGGTATTTATGAATTGAGGCAATAGAACTTACTCTTCAAGTGTTTTATTTACCTTTTCATCCATCAGAATTTCCATGATATTTTCTATGAAATACCTCAGAGTGGTTTATCTCCAAATAAGCCTGAATATCCCAGTAGGTTTCAGCTACTGTGAGCTGTGGAGGAAAACAATCCTAAAAATAACCAATTGTAATGAAATAGTTTTTTCTTGCTGGCATTCTCTTCCATGAAGAAAATCAAGTGCTCTCTGAGAAGCCAATTTCTCAGTCTGAAATGGGCAATCCTGGGGAGATGTGCCAATTTTGAAGTTGTACACAGAGCTCTTCTCAATGGATTTAAACTGCTTATCCTCCCCTCAGAGTCATTTATCTGCTTAGTCTGAGCTGGAACCAAAGAAAATAGTTCGTCAAGGTATTTTTTTTTTTAAAGATCTTAAACTTTTCCTCTCCCGTATAATTATAAAGAAGAAGGCTATTAGCAGGATGGCTGTAATAAACAAGACATGACTGAGATGCAGATTGCTCATCCACTTGAGCTGGGAATATAAAACATTTCACCGAAAAGCCAAACTCAAATGTAAATCAGGAGATGAAAGTGACAGGTGAGGCATTCACAGCAAGTTTGTTATAGCTCTTTATTTATATATATATCATTTCCACCCTGTTTCATTAGAGCTGAGGCTGCTTACCTATTCCTTGTCATTATACTCTTATTTTTCTTGCTTCCTGCTCAGTCAAACTTCAAGCTTCTGAATATATTTATTTCTATTTGATGTGTCACAGCCTGTTTTAAATTTTAACTAAAATCTCAGTCACCTGTTCCCTGAAATCAGGTTGAAGTACGATTTCCACATCCAGGCACACTTCTGCAGCCTCTTTATTGAGAAGCCTGGCAAGCCATGGGATTTTATCTGCCTCATCTTGGAAACAAGTCCCTGTTTTAGAAGCTTTCAGTAGAGGATTACTGAAGTTCTCCTGACATCCAGCCTGTAATCAGCAGCTTCCCATCCATCACGGGAAACTGAGCAGGGACCCCACTAAATATTCTCTGGACTGGTCACAGCTTTTTCCCTGGAGAGATGCTCCAGCAGCACTTAGCAGTGAGTGTCGGGGATTAGTGAAATCGATGATCCTCGCCAGGCTCTTTGCAGCACTAAATGCGAGATAAAGCCTCCTAAATTGCCCCTCTCATCTGAGTCACTCCCTGTCAGAGCGCTCAGGGGGATGTGACAGCCCTGTCATTTGGGGCACTGATAGGGAACAGGTAATTGGGGAGTAGGTAGAAGGAAGAAGCGACTGGAATTATGGCTTAGGTAGAAACTGAAAACTGGGGCAGTCATGAGATAGTCCCAGTGGAGCATAAAACTGGCAAACAAAATAAATGCTTTAGGAGCCTGTCAGGCAGTGTGAGCTAATTCACCAGGCACAGGGAGAGAGCACTGTCAGCCTGTAGTTTAGGTCCCCCCCAAAATGAGGGGGCACAGAGGACCCTGTAATCACTGCAGAGAGAATGACCAGAAAAAAACCCAAACCAATCCCATCACAGCATGTCCCAAGGGTTCTTTGCACCAGGCGATGTCTGTGCTTAGTGTGAAAAGTAAGCAAGAGCCATAAAATTGTTTGATTTCAACCTCTTTAAGCCCAGAAGTGTCATTGCCCACTGTGAGACAGGCATGAGAGCAAACACAGCCCATGACCTGAGCACGTCGGGGATCGCTCCTTAGACCTTGTTACAATTAAACTGCATTTTGACTCCTCGCCCAGATTCCCAGGAATACGGGATTATGCCTCGCTGGGATTAGGCAGAGCAGCCTGCCTTGCCCAGGGCAGAACAGGTGAGCTCCCTGTGCAGCACGGCGGGGTTGGATCCTTAACACTTGGCCACAACCCAGATTTGTCCTTTAATGTTAAATAACTGTCCAGGCTACACAGGAGAAAGAACTGCCTGTGGAGGTTCTAGCAGGGGTTTAACTGCACAGTGTCACCTCTAGAAAGGGACAATGGGTTGTGGAAGGGCTGTAGAGCAGGGATGTGCAGCAATCTCTCCCTGTACCTTCCTACCTGCTGACTGTTCCACACAGGGACTTTAAGTGCTCACTTAGAGATTAACCCCTGATTCTCTCTGTGAGCTGCACTAAGGATTTGAATCCTTTTAGTCCTCTTGAATTCGCATTTACTGCTGCCTCAGTCACTTGATTATCATTACACTGGGTAATTAACACCGAATTTTAAGTGTCATCCCGATAACATGAATAGGGACATCTAATCGATGTCAGGAATTTGACATGCAGAAAGGTTACCTCGGAAACCTCTTGGTTCGACTCCAGTTGAAGCCAATTCTGTTCAGGAAGGGGCAGCCGCAACTCAAGTGTTGTCCAAGCAGGAAGGACCGTGGAAGTAAGTTTTCCTTGGATTTTTCCTAGGACTTTCCTCTGGAAAAAAAGCGGCAGCACAGGTTCATTCCTTTGGGCCGAGGTGGCACATCTGCCAGCCTCGGGAAATGCTTCTCCTCTGCTTAGAGTTACATTCCATCCCCCTGTCTCCAGCAAAACACCCCAAACTGATCCCACTGCACTTTATACTTTGCAGACCCCCCGGGGTGGTTCAGGTTTAAGGGATAACCTGAGGTACTTCAAAAGCTCCAGATATTTTTCTCCTACTGGAGGTGTCTGCTACCGATAGAAAAGCAAAATAAGATGATGTAAACTTTTCTTAGTCACTGAGGAAACACCGAGTGGCCACAAGCTCTTTTCCCAAATCCTGGAGCTCTGCACAGGGGTCCAGCTCCCAATTCCAGGTGGATTGACCCTGCCAGCAGTAGAATGGTGCTTCCAGGTGCTTCCCCCACCACACACCCTCCGTGGTCCTGCCTGGCCACACGACTGCCCTGTCCCTGCTGGTGGGGGCTGTGTGTGTCCCCCAGCTCTGGCACCCCAAAGCCACTGGGGTCAGAGGCATCTGCTGCCACACCCATCCCCTTCCAGAGCAGGAACTGCTCCATATTCCATCCTTGATCTCCCTGGGACCACCTTCAGCAGCCCAGAGTGGGTTGTTGGCAGGAGGCAGATCCCTGGCATCATCAAGATTCCCCCACAGTCAGTGTTGTGCCCCCCAGGAAATCAGGGCACCCCCAAGCAGCAGAATCAGCAGCCCCCCTCTCACACACACGCACAGACCTGTTGCTAAGAAAGCACCTGCAGTTTTCCCTCCGCTCCCAGCTCCTGCAGAGAGGCAGGAACAGCCCAAGCCCAGCCCAAAGCAGCCCCCAGCCCGCTCCCCCAGGGTACCCCACTTACAGGTTCATAAGCTCAGCAGCAGCTACTGGTTCTGCGCAGGCAGGAGAGGGATCTCAGAGCTCCTGCAGCTCCTGCCTGAGGCAAGGAGGAAGGAGGGAGTGCAGAGCCCAGCCCAAAGCCAGGCTGCCAAGCCCCGGGGCTGGAGGCTGTCACTGCTGGCCTGGGGGAGCCTGGTTGGAACAGGGTGTCTCGGATATGTTCCATTGCAGAGCCTCCCCCTCTGCTCTGTGTGAGGCATCCCTTCGCCTCGGGAAGCTCGTTCCCAGGGTCAGGGATTCACAGTTGCCTCCACCGGTGCCACCCCTGCCACCCCCCCCCCATCCATTACAGCCCAGAGCCCTCCCGGTGCTCTGAGTGCTCCCAGCACAGCAGCACCTCTCGGGCTCTGCTCCTGCCTGCTGAGCTCCAGCGTTTAGATCCAGCTTCCCTGGAGAGCAGGCAAGCACAGCTTAGAAATCAGGAACCTAGGAAAAGAGCAGTCTGTGTGGCCCAGAAGAAAGCAGGTGGCTCTTGCAGCTGAAATGACAGGTTTTGCCTTACCTGCTTCTGCATAAGGTTTTCCAGGAAAGAAAAACAGTATCCTAAGGACAGATTGTGAGAGAATAGGCTTCCAATCAATGATTTGATGGATGTGGGAATGATTCTTCGTTGGTTTGTTTTTCTTTTAATACTCCCCTTTTTATTCCAGGAGCAGTTTAAAAGTTATTCCTTTAACAAGTCATTTAAATTTGAGAGGAAAAAATTATCTCAGTATGAATTTAAACCAGTGGGTATCTTTTTCAGCAAGAAAATTTGCTGAAATTAATTTGTGGAATTATAACAGCTCTGTGTGGAATTATCCTGTGGAATAAACGGGGGATAAAAAAGTCCAGCCATGCACAGACATTGTATTAAGTGCAGTTTTGCCGCATGTAATTGCAGATGGAATTCCAGAATTCCAGAATGCTGGGGGCCCAGAGCTGGGTGCAGGAAAGAACCACAGTCAGAGAAACCTCTGACCAAGAGAGGATCCTGAGGGATCTGCATCTAGACGAGGGGAATCTGTTTAAGAATCTCACCCCAGCTCTCCCTGCACACACACAGTGAGCAGTAGGGCTGATCCCTCTCCCAGAACACTTCCATCTCTTTTACAGGCCAGCGGCTCCATCTGCTGGGAGCAGAGAGAAGGCAGTCTGGTCTTTAAAAAGGCTGGTTGACTTCTTCCAACAGGTAAGCATTTAAGCAAGAAGTGCCCAAAAGAGATGGAGTTTCTGGAAAACAAAATCTTCATGTATCTGATTTTAAGTCGGATTGTCAACAGTTTGGTTTTCGTGGACTGGTCACCTTGGCGGGATGTGTCCAGTTGTGCTGTAAATGCATTTGTGCATGATGTAATTTATGCTTTATGCTTGTAAAGACCATCTGGGTGACACCAGGCCTCCCAGGACACTAACTCCAGGCGTTCTGCAGTTCCCATCTCCCTGCACACACGGACAGGTAACGCCAAGCCAGGCCAAAGCTTGGTGTTCCCTGTGCTCCAAAGGTGATC